ATTACAACTCCTCAGATCCATAAGGGACACACTCAGGGGGCAGACTCAGTGAGCACCAAAGCCCCACTGAAGCAAACCTTGCCCCATAAGGGTGTCTCCAGCACAGGAAGTTCTCCCACGGTAGACATAGGTGATTCTCACAGCCAATTGGCCTGGAGGTCAATCCCTCCCAGTGATACCAACTACAATCAAGGCTTAACTACAAGACTGTACACATAGCCCACAAAGGGGTGCATCAAGAGTAATTGGTCCACCTCAGGTAATTGGGGAGGCTGAGCCACTGGGCCCTATAGGACACCTAGCACAGAAAGCCACTCTATTAACACAGGGAAGCAGCCAAAATGTGGAGACAAAGAAACAGGTTTGAGATCCTTAAGAAATCTAGTGAGACCCTCGATGTTGTGATAAAGGACCAACTAGAAATTAAGCATACACTGACTGAAATAAAGAATATTATACAGACTCCCAACAGCAGACCAGAGGATCGCAAGAATCAAGTCAAAGATTTGAAATACGAAGAAGCAAAAAACACCCAACCGGAAAAGCAAAATGAAAAAAGAATCCAAAAATACGAAGATAGTGTAAGGAGCCTCTGGGACAACTTCAAGCGTACCAACATCAGAATTATAGGGGTACCAGAAGAAGAGAGAGGGCAAGATATTGAAAACCTATTTGAAGAAATAATGACAGAAAACTTCCCCTACCTGGTGAAAGAAATAGACTTCCAAGTCCAGGAAGCGCAGAGAACCCCAAACAAAAGGAATCCAAAGAGGACCACACCAAGACACATCATAATTAAAATGCCAAGAGCAAAAGACAAAGAGAGAATCTTAAAAGCAGCAAGAGAAAAAAAGTCAGTTACCTATAAGGGAGTACCCATACGACTGTCAGCTGATTTCTCAACAGAAACTTTGCAGGCCAGAAGGGAGTGGCAAGAAATATTCAAAGTGATGAATAGCAAGAACCTACAACCAAGATTACTTTATCCAGCAAAGCTATCATTCAGAATTGAAGGTCAGATAAAGAGCTTCACAGATAAGGAAAAGCTAAAGGAGTTCATCACCACCAAACCAGTATTATATGAAATGCTGAAAGGTATCCTTTAAGAAGAGGAAGAAGAAGAAAAAGGTAAAGATACAAATTATGAACAACAAATACACATCTATCAACAAGTGAATCTAAAAATCAAGTGAATAAATAATCTGATGAACAGAATAAACTTGTGAATATAATAGAATCAGGGGCATAGAAAGGGAGTGGACTGACAATTCTCAGGGGGGAAAGGTGTGTGGGGGGTGCGGGAAGAGACTGGACAAAAATCATACACCTATGGATGAGGACACGGTGGGGGGTAAGGGCAGAGGGTGGGGTGGGAACTGGGTGGAGGGGAGCTATGGGGGGGAAAAAGAGGAACAACTGTAATAATCTGAACAATAAGGATTTAATAAAAATAAATAAATAAATAGTTTTTCTTGAAATATTAAGGTTTATTGCATGTAACATTATTATATTTAAAATCGTTTTTCTTGAAATTAAAAAACAAAGGAGTGACACAGGAGGAATTTCAGGCCCAGAGAGGGCATGATGAATACAGCTGGTAGCAGCTGGAGGATTCTGAATCCAGTCCCAAGTCCTACATCAGCTCACTGCAGATGAGAACATTTTTCACATGTGCTCATTGGGTACACCCAGAAAGCAATTAAAAAAAAAAAGGTATAAGTAAGTGTTGCAATTCCACCTCAGTGGCCATCAGAAGTGACAATACCTGCCCTGGCTGGGTGACTCAGTTAGTTGAGCGTCATCCTATGCATTGAGAGGTGGTTGGTTCAATTCCTGGTTAGGGCACATGACCAGGTTGTGGGCTCATGCAAGAGGCAGCCGATCAATATTTCTCTCTCTCTCTCCCCCTCTCCTCTCCCTTTCTCTAAAGTCAATAAAAACATATTTAAAAAAAAAAAAGAGGGGGAAAAGTGATAATACCCTTGTCTCAAATCACACCTCACCTTCACATGTCCATTTTTGAAATCACCACAGTGCATGAGAGCAGTTCACCCTTTATTTAGCTTAGGCCCTGGGTCACTTGGAGCTGGTGTACTTGGTGACAGCCTTGGTGCCCTCAGACACAGTGTGCTTGGCCAGCTCTCCAGGCAGCAGCAGGCACACTGCTGTCTGAACTTCCCGGGATGTCAGTGTGGCTCGGCCTGAGTACTGAGTCAGTCGGATGGCCTCGCAGGCCAGCCGCTCAAACATGTCATTCACAAGTGAGTTCATGATGCTCATAGCTTTGGAAGAGATGCCGATGTCAGGGTGCACCTGGATAAAGAGCAGGACTGCTTTAACCAGTAAGCTCTCCCTGATGCCCCAGCTCCAGGTTGGGGACGCAGGACTGTAAGGCCACCTCACCAGCCTCTTCCCAGAAGCCAAGCGACATGGAAATAGGGATTCATTTTTATACTATTATTTCCAAGTTAAAAAGAAATGGTTTGTCCCAACCGAAAGAGGTAACGCTATCAGGTTCTGTATAAGCACATGTCAGCATCTAGCTTTTTAAAAAATATATATATTGTTGAAAGTACTACATATGTCCCTTTTTCCCCCATTAACCTCTTCTAGCCCATCCCTGCCCCCTCAGCATCTATCTTTGACAAATGGAATCAGTTACACAGCACTTTGCTTTTTCCATTGAATGTATTTGCATAGTGTTTTGGGTTTTTTTGCATAGTGTTTCATAGTGTAGAGGAATCATAGCTCATATCTCCATTCCTCTTTTAATGGACATTTTGGGGGTTTTGTTTTCTTGCCATTAGTGTTATAGTAAATATGCAACTTTGGACACTGTGCAAGCATAAAGAAGGTTATTCCTAGAGACGACACTGCCAAGTCACAGGGTGTGTGCACTTAATTTGGTAGATTGTTGTTACCAAATTACCTGCCAGAGAGCACACCTCTGTGACCCAATCTCAGTACCAGATGAGAGGAGTCAGGACACCCGGTTCTGTGGCTGGACTGTGACTCACTCTGTCACCTCAAATAAGGCACTTTCCTCAGCCTCAGTTTCCTTTTCTATCACACAGGATATTTTTATTTTTTAAATATATTTTTTATTGATTTCAGAGAGAAAGGGAGAGTGAGAGAGAGATAGAAACATCAATGATGAGAGAGAATCATTGATCGGCTGCCTCCTGCATGCCCCACACTGGGGATTGAGCCCGCAACCTGGGCATGTGCCCTGCCCGGGAATCGAACCAGTTGGCTGAGCATCGTCCTGATGCATGGGACAGCTGGGCTATCACACAAGATTCTGAACTAGGTGATCTCTAGTAAAACAAACGGTGGGGACCTGATAAATCCTACAATGTGAGTAGGCAGACATTAAGTGTTTCTCTGTAAAGTGGGAGGTAAGTAACTCCCCAGTGACATACATCAAGCCAGTGGTGGAGACAGAACTAGACACTCTGGTTACCACTGACAACAGGAAATCTGAGCCCATACGAGGCTGGTTTAGCCTAAACCCCTGGTGCAGCCGTGGGCAAACTACGGCCCGAGGGCCGGATCCGGCCCGTTTGAAATGAATAAAACTAAAAAAAAAAAAAGACCGTACCCTTTTATGTAATGATGTTTACTTTGAATTTATATTAGTTCACACAAACACTCCATCCATGCTTTTGTTCCGGCCCTCCGGTCCAGTTTAAGAACCCATTGTGGCCCTCGAGTCAAAAAGTTTGCCCACCCCTGCCCTGGTGTCTCATTAGATCCTGTCCTCCTCAGGGTTGCCGGTGAGGGTAAAGTCGAGACTCCCCCCACTGAAGGGTTTGAAAACAAACCTGAGCAAGCATCCCTGCACTAGACTCACCCCTCACTCAGTTCCCAGCATCTGACTACCTCTTACATGCTAAGGTTTGAGAGGACTAGGAGGCCAATTCTTTTTTTTTTTTCCTGCAAGCTTTATTGTTTCCAGAGGGCTCCAGAGTCATTAAAAGAATGGCTCAGGCAAAACCAGACATGAGGGGGATGCTGAGGGGCCCCTCAAAGGCCTCTGGGCTCCAAAGGTCCTAGTCTGCTTGAGGGGAGCTTTCGAAGAGATACTCACCCAGCTTGGGGCTGGCCAGCCTGTGGAGGTCAGTCAGGTGGTTGCCCATCTTCTTTATGATTTCATTTCCTCATCCAGGAAGTGGTTTTCCAGGAAGTCAGAGATGAGGGTCTGCGCAGGTAGAACCCAGAGCCTGCAGACCCACAAGGCCCGGTTCAGGTTCCTCTTCAAGGCCATGGCGGCCTCCATGGTGTCCTGAGTTTTGCCCCACTCACCTTGGGAAGTCTTCAGCATGTCCTAGAAGGGAATCTGCCACTGCGCTAGTTTTGCATCTTTAAGAGATGCTCAGCACCCTTGTGCTTCTTCTCTGCCAACTTGTGCGAGAAGTGGCCCATGCCCTCCAGAGCACATTGTGGCGGTCCAAATAGAAGCTGAGAGAGAGGTAGGTGTAGGAGGCCCGCAGATGCAGGTTGACCAGGCGGTTGACGGCAGCCTCCACTTCAGTGGAAGAACACTCATGACTTAGGGAGCTCATGGTTGTTTGGCAATAAGAAGTTAAGGTAATAATAATAATTTTTTTAAAAAACACACCAAAAACAACAACAAAAAACGGTGTTGGCTGGTTTCGAAGGCTGATGATGGCTGAGGTGGTTCCAGAGGTGGTGACTGGAAAAGACATCGGGTGGTTGAGGCTGGAAGAAGGGGCGTCCCTGGATCTGTTCTATCCAAACTTTGAAGCCAGAGACAGATCCAGGACCAATGAGGGCACCGTCAGGAGGCCAATGCTTAACCCACAATAAGGCACTGCTAATTTTAGGCATTTGCAGAAATACCTATTTGGTGAGCTTTTTAAGCATTCATAAGTTTTGAGATTGGCTTTTCTTTTGCATAGTCAAGCCAACTTTCCTCCAGCTCTGAAGCCAGTATCCCTTCACACCTCAAGTACAATGCACAGGGACCCAGCGACTTTCAGGGCTGTAATATAAAGCAGCCCTCCTTGGCTGAAGCAGCAAAAGCTCCCAGCTCCACAGCTTATCATCCATCCCCGCAGCTCACTCTTGATACCATTCCCCCCGGAATCCAGTCTCTGGATACTCTAGACCAATGACAGGCCACTTTGCTTTGGACCCCACTTAGGGCACAAAGCAGCAAAGCCAGGCCCTGGGTGGAGTAGGAGTCCTAGCCCTTCCTCTGGCCTCGGGCACCTTGAGCTACAGCTTCTCACCTGATGCTCACTTACTGTACCTCTGCCCAGGGCTTCATAGCCATCTGAGATCCTTCTCGTCTTTCAAGTTAGAGCACCAAGTCCCACCTTTCTGGAAAACTTCCCTCCCTTTTGTATCCTTCTACCTAAATCACAAATTAGCATCTGATTTATGCCATCTTGCTCTCTAGTCTTGTTGCCTTTCTCATTATATCCTGAGCTCTGTGGGGGTTTAGACGACATCCCAGACTTTTTCTAGTTGGAGATGCACTGTAATGAGCACTGAAAAATCATGGCTGTGTTCTCCCACAGACATGGCTGCCGAGGCTTCAGAGTTGGAGTGAGGAATCCATGGTGGCACAAAGGTGAATGCTATTCCAAGTTCAGACAGGCTATGCCAATCCTTGGGTTGACTGTCATCTAGATAGTGCTAATGAAAATTCAGACAAAAATACAGGTAAAATAATAAAGCTCCCTGTATGACCAGCAACAGTGGTTCACAAATTTGGGTGTGAAAATGCAGACTCTTGACCATTTTTGCACCTCTCCCATCCCACCAGATAGAATCAACAGATCTGGAGCCTGGGCAGCTGCATTTTTAACAAGCGTCCTAAGTGTGTGATACAGGTCCCACGTGGCAGGAGCCTCAGACAACTCTGAGAAACATGTTCCAGGAGGCTACTTCTCAACGTGGTCCCCAGGCCAGGAGCACCAGCAGCACCTGGGAACCTGTTAGAAATGTTACTTCTTGGTCTACTGAGCCGGAAACTCAGGAAAGACCGTGACCTGTGACCTGACATGTCCTCCAGGTGATTCTGACTCGTTAAGGTTTGTGAGCCTTCAAGTTTGTGAACCACTAGTGTAAGAAAAGGCACAATTTCAAATCAGCAAAAGGGACTGAGTTCTTCAGGATTCTATAGACTAGTCTTCAGACCACATCCATCCCGACACCCACCCCAGCTCTTGCTGAAGGGAAATGGACGTTGGCAGTGCAGTGAGGAGGGGAGCAAAGGGCCCAGAGACCCGAGAAAGAAAGCACGGACCACGGCTTGTTCTTTCTTTATTGGACGCTTTGTAGATGTCACGCAGGTCTAAAAGTTACACTTTTAAATAATTATTTAAAAACCGATCAGGAATAAGGCCCTGATCCAGAGCTCCAAACCAGAAGCAGAAAGGAATGGGGGCGGTGGGCTGAGTTGTATTCCTCCAACTTCATCAAAACTCAGAAAACCAGGATCCTAAGCTCCTTCACAAGCCAACCAGGGTGTGGGCCCTTGGGCTAACCCTCAGGTGCCTCTGGCTGCATCACTCAGGGTCAGGAACCAGCAAGGGGCGGCAGGAACAGCCGGCTGAGTCCAGACATGGACAAAAATAATGGGAAGGACAGAAAACGGACAGGTACTGTCCAGCTGTAGATAGGATCACAGAGTGTAGCTAAGGCAGGTGGGGGCAGGGGAGGAGCTGGGGAGTGGTATTGCAGCAATGCAGGAGTGCGGCCCCAGGGGCCTGGCCCACCTGGCCAGGGTAGGGCTCACACATTGTGGGTCCTCCTGCTAAGCTGGGGCTCTTCACCCACCAGCTTGGACTTGAGGTGCTCCTTGTAGGCCAGGATGTCTCCAGGCCATTTGGTGATTGTCTGCTTCTCACAGACCCAGATTTCTTGTGCTACCTAGAAAGCAAATCATAGACTTAATGATCCTGGCCAGCACTCTCTCTCTCCCTCCCAGAAGGCTGTTTTTGGGGAATTTCAGGAAGAAGACTCCATAGCCTTTCCAAACCCCTTCACCAGCCTCATATCCAGCTCGTGGTTGGTTTCACTATCTCCACATTCTTTGGGATGGCTTAACAGAGGAAATATAACAAGCAGGTCTGGAGACTCCCAGCCAGGACCTGCTGTCCTCCTGATTACCAGTTCCCTAGCAGGGCCCAGATCTGTTCACAGGCTTCACTCTCAGCTCCATCCCATCTTCCCCAAAGCTTCAGAGAAATGACCAGCAGCTTTTTCACCAAAGACTGGTGGTAGCTCTCTGTCTAATCAAAATCCTCCTTAGTATACCATTAGGCTGAAGAACCTTGGGACAGTAGCAAAAGCACTCTGTTCTCTACCCAACTCCCACCCTGATTTTGGCCAACAATATTAAATAGGCTAACATCCCCAAATAGCTACTGAAGAAATGAAGTATGTCCATTAAGGCTTTCTAAGTTTCCCAAAGAGGCATAAGATCTGATCCAAACCACCCCATCTATGCCCTGAGCCCCTTTCCCAAATTGAATAAAAATGTGTTGCCCTAGCTGGTTTGGCTCAGTGGATAGAGCATTGGCCTTCGGGCCAAAGGGTCTCGGGTTCAATTCTGGTCAAGGGCACGTACCTAGGTTGCAGGCTCCTCCCCGGCCCAAGCCCTAGTCAGGGCTTGTGCAGGAGGCAACCAATTGATGTGTTTCTCTCACATCGATATTTCTCTGTCTTTCCCTCTCTCTAAAAATCAATGGAAAAATATCCTCGGGTGAGGATTAAGAAAAAAATGTGTTAAGTGCCCCCTATGTGTCATGACTGTGCTCCATCCAACCTTCTCCTATATGCCCCTACTAGGCCTCCCACCCGAGCCAGGAGCCTCACCTGCTGAATAAGTCTGAAATCATGGCTGACCAGCATCATACCACCCTCAAACTCATTGATGGCATCAGCCAGGGCATCAATGGTCTCAATATCCAGGTGATTGGTGGGCTCGTCCAAGAAGAGCATGTGGGGGTTCTGCCAGGCCAGCCAGGCCAGACACACCCGGCACTTCTGCCCATCAGACAGGTTCCGGATCGGGCTCACCTGAGTAGGACCGTGATATTTATATAAGTTAGTGTTACCCCCACCAAACAGCACAGTTCACCTCTTCCCCCTCACTCAACAAAAGCTGGTGTCAGGAATATCCAAGTTCAGGCAGCAAGGTGGTGACACAGTCATCAGTCTCTCAGGCCTTAAGGAATGCATCTGGAAGCCGGAAGCTCCTGCAGTTACCAAGGCCATGACTCTCAGCACTTAAATCTTAATGATTCAGCCCTGGCCTGGCTGGGTATCATCCCATACAGGTAGCAGGTTCGATTCCTGGTCAAGGCACATACCCAGGTGGCAGGTTTGATCCCCAGTAGGGGTGCATGTGGGAGGCAGCCAATTGATGATTCTCTCTCATATCAATGTTTCTGTCTGTCTCTCTCCCCCACTTCCTCTCTAAAAAGAAATAAATAAACCTTAGGATTCAGAGCAATCCAGTGGACCTTCAGTCCAGACCTGAATCCAGGAACTTGTTTTCTAGGTTTAATTTCCCTTGCCCTCAAGCACAATGGCTCAGAGACTGCATGATGTGCTTGCCCCTTCCTCATAGAGAGACCTAAATGCTCTACTATAGCAATTTTCAACCGTGTGCCACAGAAATTTTTAAAATATGAAATACCCGACTAGTCAAAGGCCTCTTTTCCCTTAGATTGTCAAATAAAAAAGTGACAACAGCCTGGCCATGTGGCTCTGTTTTGGGGCAGTGACCCATGAACCAGGAGGCCACGGTTCAATTCTGGTCAGGGCACATGCCCAGGTTGTGGGCTCAATCCCCAGTAAGGGTTGTGCAGGAGGCAGCTGACCAATGATTCTCCCATCACTGATGTTTCTATCTCTCCTTCTCTCCCTTCCTCTCTGAAATTAAAAAAAAAAAATTTTTTTTAAATGATAACAGCCAACACAATAGCCGTCCAGTGTGCATGTATCAAAATTATACCTTTTTGGGGTCATATCAGCAAAAAATATATTTTTTGGTATGCCACAGAATTTTAATAGTTTGTGTGTGACATTAGATGAAAGAGGTTGAAAACTGCTGCTCTACTACATAACAACCTGGGGCAAAGGAAAGGGAATGGTGGCCAGGACAGTGTGCCCTGACCATCCAGCCAGTCTCCCAGTTCTCTGGGCTTCTTCCCCACACCCCCCTCCACTAACCTGCTGTTTCCCAGTGAGACCATATCGCCCAATGATCTTCCTCATTTCTTCCTTCTCCTTGATCTCTGGATAGCACTTCATCATGTACTCCAAAGGGGAGAGGTCCAAGTCCAGCTGCTCTTGTAAATGCTACAGGAAAAAAAGGAACCCACCCAGGTTTGACTGACGTCCAAGAACCCTGCTGGGTTACTTGCCAAGTAACTTACTCCCTCTACCCAGGCACCACCTGTTCAAAGAGAAGCAGGTAGGAGTCGACTGGGTCACATGCAGCCCAATTACCACACACCAAGGAGTTCCCCCACCTCAACCCCAGGCCTGTCATACCTGATGGTATCGCCCTATCTTGACATGAGAGTGTTTTCGGATCATC